CTATGAAAAACCATCAATTTTCCTACAGAAAGCAAAAGGTTCAGATGTCATAACGACAAATGACTTTAACGCCCAAGTAGGGAAGCTGAGCCAACCAAAAAGGCATATCAGGGATATCTTCGGAATCTCATGCCCACAAACCGACAACGGTGATCGTCTGTTGCAATTTTGCGCCGACAACCACTTGTTTCCGGTCAGCACTAACTCTAAACATAAGGAGAAACAGTCTCACATGGCATCACCGACTTCAAACCAACGAACACAGATCACATTGTTTATAAGCCAGCCATCGTTAGAGAGCATCGGTGGAGAATTGGTTGTCTTTCTAGAGCACCAGCTTGGACTCCGACCATGTCTGCACTTTACTAGCGGCAGGAAACATGGGATAGTAAAGCCTGTCTATTCTCGATTAGAAGACGAGGACGCTAAGTACGTAATTAGAGAGGATTTAGCTAAGCATATATCTGAAAGCGACGGAAATCCTCGTCCTGAGGAAACCTGGCATATTATTATTATTAGTCCCTTGGGTTCCTAATGGAACATAGGGCTTCAAAACCTGGCATAGCGTGATACTAAGTCTGCTGTAGAAATAGAGGTAAACACAGTTGGTAACTTACATCCGAAGGTTAGCAAACCTCATTGAATTTCCGCAACATGATCGAAACTGACTGGTGCAAGAGAACTGATTCATACTTGCTTTGACCACGGTGAAGAGCAAAAGCAACTTCAACGTAAAATGACCAGGAGTGTTTGCGTCAGCTGCGAGCAGTGGTGGGTAGCGAAGGCGAAAGATGGAGGCGTCAGCATTGGGTAACACTCGGCAACTACTTATGCTTATTGAGGATACCACCAAGGAGAAAGCGATGGTTAGTGAGACCACAAAATAAAATGAGATGCTTATAACCTCTCAGGATAGGCAAATAGAACGTTCGGCAGAACACTTTGAATCATAATTCAACTGGCCCCCAGCAACCCTTCATTTGCCTAACATCCAGCCTGAACCTGAATGGAGAGTAGATGTCGGTTCTTCAACTCTTTCGCTCTCTGTAGTTGAGAAAGCTGTATCGAACCTGACAGCTTGTCAACTGAAGGTTTCAAAAATGGGGGTAGGAAACTGCTGCTCAAAGTGAAGGAGCTACTAGGTAGTGCGTGGGACTCAGGTAGTGGCGTCAGGCTGATGTACTTCTCTGATCAATTCGTACTGTGAGGAGGGAGAGAAATCTTGTGACAACTCTAGGGGAATTAGTTTGACTATTACTGTGTCCAAGATCCTAGGATCCATAGTTATCCGTCACCTAACTGGAGCTCGGGAACAGCAAACTCGAGAAAATCAGGCAGGTTTCAGAACTGAACGAGGGTCCATCGATCATATCTTTACGACAAGTTCTGGAGAACAGCCAAACCTACCGGCAGCCGACACCTGTCATATCTCTTCACCTGAAGGCGGCATCTGACTCAGTCAACCATGAGGAGCTGTGGGAATGTGACTGAAAGGAGCACCCAGCAAGTGCATAACGCTAACAAAAACTTTTTAGTCGAACTCATGAAGCCGTGTTAGGGCTTCATATGAGTTGACGAGAACTAGTGGTGCGCGCCAGGGGTGTCTACTGTCACCGTTTTTATTTAACTTTATCACAGACACTAACGGACATTCCCTTAGGTATCTGACTTCAGAGATTCACTCCCTGGAAGTCATCTGGTTGACTTGGAGTATACAGACGATACTGTTCTGCTACGTGAAGACGCTGACGCTATGTAGGGTCTTCTGAACATGTTGAACATGTCTAACATGCATTTCGCTATCTTCTGTCAAATGTAAGATAATGCTCCACGACGCGTCTGCTGCAAGAACTCCCATTTTAACGGTAGAAAGTAAAGTGATGGAATGTACCGACCACTTCACTTAATTGGGAAGTTGTATCAGCTCGAACGAGTTGGTTGCTGACGAAATTTCAGCTAAGATACGAGGGGCCATCTGGCATTTGCCAACTTGCGTCACCTGTGGCACCGGCGAGATATCCGACTATGTATCAAAGGACGACTATGCTGCGTTGCAGTCCGTTCTCTCCTGCTCTATGGTTGTGAGACATGGTCATTAAAAGAACATGTGAAGCGATTACTGGGCTTGGATAATAGATGTCTTCGTAGCATCGCTCGCGTGTGATAGAATCACTGTGTGAGCAATGTTATCAGGCGACGTGTATTAGGCAAGAAAGGCGAGACGATTGGTGGGGTTGTGAACCCTAATTGGCTGAGATGGCCTGGACATGTACTTCACCTGCCACGCTACCGCCTGCCTCAAAGTGTAATGCCAGGGAAAGTTGGATTAGATTGGAAGAGGGTTAAGGATGGCTAGACTAAGACCTGCCACCAGTCGATGAAGTCTCTTACTGTTGGTCTGAGTCCTGTGAGGCAATGCAGACTCTCTGGTAGGGGTCTCCGAAACGAAAGAAATCAGTGGTTGAGGACTCTTGATGACACGGCTGGAAATCGATGATTGTGGCTCGGATGTACTCACTACTTAGCATCGCACTAACCTTTATCTTCAGATTACTTATTCTCTTACAATGCTTTGTCTTCTTCTTTCCTACCTGTTCTTTGTATACTACTGCGAAGGATGGCAACTTGAGTCGATGTGCCTTTGTGGGAGGTCCGACATTGATTAAGTCAGTTAGTCAACCAGTTTTTCGTTGACAGTTGCAAAATACATATTTTTCATGACTGTTTAGGACTGTTTCTTCACTGCTGTCATCCAAGCATAAGACAGAAAAGTGGAACTTGCAAGTCAAACTTATGCCGTAAAAGTTATTTCACATGGTTATCCGAATAGGACGAAGCGTTGGATTTTTGTCTGGCTAACTTAGATAAACTTTCTGCTGCTTGTACTGTACCACGTTTGCGTTTGAAATGAGTGAATAGATCTCTGAAGAACTATCAGCTGACGAAGATTAACCTTCGGAAAGAAAAATTTAACTATACTTACGGTCAAGACAAACTGTAGTGAACTTCAGAATTTTTGACTTGGAACACTTGGATGCTCTATACTATGGGACACATGATCACACCGATTAAACGTATTAACAGACCAGAAAAAGATGGCTTTCATCATCACATGCAACTTATAAGGTAGTATTTCTACCTGTTTTGAGAACAGACTGTCACATGATCGGGTTTCGGATGATTATCAGCCCCAACTTCGCAGTGTTTATTGCGCCCACTAGCTGTGGTTACTATGAGCAATTTCTTTGAAAAACAAAGTAAACATATCTAGAACCAAGCCGATAAAACTACATATCAAATAAAATTAGTCACCTTGATCTACAATACTGGTTCACCACCATTCGGAATGACCAGAATTCCGTAGGAACGCACACAAGATATCTTTCGTGATTATCGACTGGATCTGTAGGGTTATTGGGGACTCTTTGAACTGCACTTTCAGCCCATGTAATCCACCGATTTTCAAAGTTACTCAAATTTTTAAGTACCATCTCTACACGGATCCGAAAATTCAGATGTTTTGTCAGTCTATACCTATCTGCATTCAGTTGTAGCCAAAGTTCTTATACAAGTTTACACAAACCCACTTTACTAAAATTTACTTTCAAAGTTGTTGAACGCAACCACGAAAACTTACGACAAACCGGGAATTTAGTTTATAAACGATTATTTGCGCAACCCGCTAAATTACATAATATTTCCGTTGTGTATTCCTACTGAACTAGGTATGAGGAGTTTTACGGATGTTCCACTACCATACTCTGACAGACCTGAAATGTTGTACCACATAAATTTCCTTGCTTTTTTCTGTTTGGCACATGGACCTGTAGGCTGCTGACTCAGTTGATTATTTCACTGCACTGATACAAATGATGCATGTCGGAGTTTATGCTTGTGCTTGCATTTAATGATACTAAACCGATTCTTTTAAAGTAATCAGGAGACATGATTTATATGTATCCTTTGCTAGTTTGATCAGAGTACCGTTCCGGATATTTACTGCAGGCTTGAATACAGGGAGCTTTTAGCAACAAGTAATCACTAAACAACAATTTCTGGAAAAACATTCCAATTATAAATTCGAACGGATGATACATCACACACATTTCAACGGTGAGAGCCCTAACTACTGAAAGTTCAACAGTGGATGGACGTTAACCATTCAAACGTCAGTGATCATATAAGAATTCTAACACCGTTATTAAACATACTAACTTCAGTCGTGTTGTACTTATATAATATACTTCTCATCGTAAATCACAGCTACGTGGTGAAAAATTCAGATACCTCACTATGCTTTGCTCATAATAGGTTGTTCAGACAACGATTTATGTTGGTCTATATCTAGAAAAATGTTTACATTGGGCGTATCTTTGTCGCAACAAATGCACCAACCAGTGTATTCGGTAGCTGCCAAACACTAAGTAGAAAAGTCGCATCGTGTTTTACATACTATTTGTTCACTGACATTTCAAGGCTGCCGAACCCTATTTTACTTTGATCAAATTTTCTTGAGACTTTCAAGAAAATTAAATCCACGCTTTAGAACTCAAAAACGGACGAATTTGGACAGATAAAATCAGTTAGGTTTTCGCGTGAGCACAGCAGTCAACCATTCTAAAAACCAGTAGTTGAACTGAATACAGGGATACATTTGACAGCAGCACATTGCGCAAGTGTAAAACTGTTACCATACTATCAGCAAAAGCCTTTAAACAAAAACCAATAAATAAAAACAAGAGCGTAGTACCTAGTCTGTTGTCATGAGTGGTCAGTGAAGTATAACTCATTAATTAGTACCCGAACACTTTCCCTAACTCATAATGGATATAATCTAGTAAATACGTCCATGTTATCAAGAGAATATTTTTCTATTCAATCAGCGAAAATCAACATGAAGTACTTTGAAATGTGAAATGTAGTCACTGGGTAAAGTTCTGAGCAGTAACAAATAAGCAGTAAAAACACAGATATTATGGAATTATGGAGAAATTGCTTACAGATACATAAGAACGGAGCAGAAGCTAAATAAATCCATACACAACACCCATAGCCGTAAGAGGATCTTGAGCGCAGAAATTTTGAAAGCAGATAAACAAACAAACAACAGCTGACTGACTGATTGGCTAACTGACTGTCGCCTCATAAAATGACTATTAACTTTTCAGTCATGAAAGGTTTCGAAATTGACGATAATATACGATTGCTACAAGAAACTAAGCATATGGAATATTTTTTTGCTTTAGACTGTTCTTTACGCCAGTTGCGTTACATTTCGGTTAGGAAGTAGGTTTAAATTTTATATTGCTCGGGCTATCCTGATACTCTAGCACCTAGTTTTTGTCACTCTCCTATCTTTTAACCGGTCTATCTTCACTAATCCAAATCTAGTATGAGTCATGACTATTTTTAGACTAGTAAGCATAAGCCTTAAATAGTCCCCAGTATCCCTTCTTGGGTGGAGATTAAGGTAACGTATGTATTTTTTAAGATTATAATACTTTGAGCTCCCAATCTGTTCTTGTGACTGGCTTTACTTCAACAACATTCATGCAGGTTTCAGCACGACTTGCGACTGACTCACTTAAGGGGAGCCATAACGTTGAATGTGCTGTATCTGAAAAGCAAGTTTGTCCCTACTCAAAGTTTTCTTCTTTTGCGTTTGCAATTTCCCCCTGTTGATAGTGTTAATGCTCCGCATTACCCATCAGCAGCGCGAAGACTGCAGCTGACAATCAAATTTTTGCTATGCTGTTGCCATGAGACTTGTAAAAACGTACGTGCTGCATTCCTCTGATAGTTACTAGCATGAATATAACTTCCTGAGATGTCCTTTCCACCTAATTACTAGGCATTTTAGTGTGCATTCATCAATAATCCGAACCCCTTTATACCACGCAAAAAGAGTTTTCAGCGTGCCATACAGATGTGCATACGGTCAGACCACTACGGAAATGAATTTTGAGCCCCACTTTCTCGTTTTTTTGCTCATAGGAATGAAAATACCTCAAGTGCTCTAAACTGTCAAAACGCCTCATCCTTACCAAATGATGTCCGGTGATTTTATTTCACTACTTCCAAATCCTTTGCTAACAAGTCAAGCGGAAAATAAACGGCGTGTGGCACAGAACTTTGGTGGATTTAAGGAATATAGGGTGGTACAGGGGTTTCCAAATTCAAACTTAACTGACCGAAGACACCAGTCTTTGTGATGCGTGACAAGTGCAGAGCTTGCTTTCTTATTCTTACAATGCGAAACGGCTTGTTTTGTACGTTAAATCTTTGAATCATAAACTGAGGCTTTTGCACAAACAGAGAGCGTCGTAAGTATCTGGTGGGCAACCTAAGTTCAGACACCGTTATGCAAGCAACCTATGCCCAATAGTGAGGTGCATTTAGGCCATTCTTCTGTGGTTAATAAGAATAGTGTTATGTGGTTAGGTAACACCAGTTTCGTTTATCAAAGGGATTACAATACATCCAAGCGCCTTCGAAATAAATTTGAGGCTCACTTGGTGCAGTAGTTTTTCTCAACTTTTGCACCCACTAGTGTATCCGAGAATCGTACTCTCTATTTGTAACACACAACGTCCTCAAATCCAGGACTCAAAAGTCCCTAGGCCGGGAAAACCCTGCCCATGATAGAAACTTCAGGCTGTAAAACATGTGGATGAAGCCTCATGGAACAACTACCCTTTAATAGTGGGAGAAGCTACAGTGGCAGAGAAGAAACCCAGTTACCTCTGCTATACTGTTCCGACCAATGGCTTATGCCTTAAAGTATGTTTCCAAATGAGATATTTAGGATTTGTCCTGGTGCGAACTTGACAGACGCAAAGACCGATTACTAATCATTCGGACTTGTTATATACCTACGAATACTAGACCAAGGAAAAAACGATAGCGTAGTCGGAGCTCCGGCTTCAAAATGTTTGGACGAATCGGTTTCCCGCCCAGTACACTTCATTTACGGTCTTCAAGATTCAACACAATGTTTTGATTGGTGATTCTGACGTTTTTGTTCACTTTCATGGCAAGCACTTAGTTTTGATATTTATAAGTTTGTCACCCGATAGACATCCACCATTTTCAGTACGTTGTAATTTTCTGTTACGAATATAACGACATTGTTCCGCCAGGGTAGGGAAATGTCGCAGCACTGTTTCCCATTGGTAAGAATTTAACTTCGTTCCATATCAGTTTAACTTTATAAGCTGAGGTTTTTACCTACAATATGGAAGGAAGATGAAACAGCGGACAGGGAAGTGACCAACGAGGTTCAGAAGTGAACTTGCCATCTAAATACAGGTTCCTTTGTATCCTGACTTTCTTTGCTATGCCGTTGATTGTGCGTGCTCTATCCGCTAAACACTTGAAAACTTAGTCCCATGTTTCTCAAAGTTTGGTAGTTTGATCAAAGCTTATTGTGGTGTGTAAAAGGGATTCTTTACTGTTTAGCATGTGGTGAGAAGTGATGATATATTATTCTCAGGACTGCAGAAAAAAGGTTAATTTGGTCGTGGTCGAGGTTTCGTTTCGACATTTGGAAGGTTTTACACATAGTGTGTCATGGGAGATATTCATTGAGCGCTAGGTAAGCTTGGGCGGTTACCAAGTTGCATTTGGTAATTGACTATTCACAGGGATTGGTTTGGAAGTTTTCGATTCACAAAGAAGTCGGTTCGAATTTGAGGGGACTAAATGACGAGGAAATTTCCGCGAATGGAGGATTTAAACGGCTTCAGTGTGGTGCTATGAGCTTATCTGCAAGGACCATAAAAACTACTCTGTTCGAACCGAGCTTCACCACTGGTTGTGAAAATTCACTTATGCAGAAGAGAAAGCCTAAACTTTGCCGGATGTAGGTGGAACAAGTTTTCAGAAGCGCGAGACTACGTTTGCTACTAGCGTACGATTATTGTGAAAGGATTTCATCCATGCTAATAATGGATAGTCAATTCCTGGGGACCGGAACCTACTTGTTAGCAACAAATGGTCAACTCTGAAATTTCTTCGGATGTCTAGATAGAGTACAAGAACCAACTGGCGTCGATCGCGCATAGTAGTCATTCAGCCAAAAATTGAGATGGCAGGTATTCAGGATCTTGATTTCAGGAACCTGAAATGACTCGAAGCTATGGTGTTGTCGGTAGGCATGGGGTGAAGAACGCTTTCCGTAATAACCCTCCTGGTAATCCGAGAAACCCTAGGAGTTATGTTCATTGGCCTATACCTACTGTCAAATCTTTGTAAACGGGATTTATATGTAGGTTGGATTAATGATGCTTTCTAAATATCGGGGTGTGGAACTTTCGGATTGGATTGAAATTATCTTCGACATTTTCGAAATAAAATTTGAACTAATATCTTATCAATCAGGGCCCCCACATTCGTTTTGCAGGAAGTACATAATATTCCAGAAGCCATCGGAAACCATATATTTTTAAGGGTGACTTTCATGTCGCACGTGGCTGCCAAGGAATGCAAACCGTTTCAAACGGGAAAGCAGGACAGCTCGAACGCTTCCATAGTCCCCACAATCTGTTCCACTGTCACGTGCGTCTGCATCCACTACCTCCGAAAAGGTTAAGGCATTCCAAGCTTGGTAGCCATATTGGGAATGGTGGTCTTGTGACCAGTCTACCTGGTCGGAAACCTAATGTAAACCTTGCGCGCGGTTGAGACATTCACCGAAGTCAGCTTCACACATTAATATTCAGATGGTTTCTTCTGCTGTATATGCAGGGTGACTCCACCACCAAGCGCAAAATTCTCATTGATGGATAAACACCAACCTCAAGTGAAGGAAGATGCTCGTCAAACATACGCCTGAACGTTTAATAATGAAACCAGTGTTCGCACAGCGAAGGAAAGCGAGCAAATCGTGGCAGCTTAAAATGCTCAAGAGAGGTAGTAACTTCCTTTCCTCCTTCAACTAAAAACATCCACCATGACCGGTCCATTTGTCTTTGAGAAGCGTATGAACCAATGCAGTTCGCTTTCATTTCCAGTGGTAACAACACTGGACTGAAAGAAATATTACAAACCAAACATGAAGTCATATCACTATGACGGGAACTGCTTATATATGGGAGGTGGTAATGTGACAAACGACTACTCCAGATTAGCCGAAACACTGAGGTTCACTGCTGACATGCCTAGTGTGACAGTCAGAAAAGTCGACATGCAGTATACGAGGATCACGATCAATAATGCAAACGCTGCAATGAATAAGGGCATTAGTTAAAATCATGCCCTGAACTACTCATTTCACACACTATTTAGACGTAATGATGACCACCAACTTCAGTAACACCACAATAGGCTTTTATGACAACATGCGGAAAAGAAAAGGGGTAAAAAGCAAATATGAGGTGCTGTGACAAACATACTTCGTTCTGACACAGAGGGAGGTGATCATTTCAAAACATTTTGTGTCATGGCCTAAAATTGCAGAACTCACTTATGCACATATGTACGAAAGCAGTATTTTGTTGTAAACGGTCACCTGAGGGATGATAGAAGTACGAATACAAAGCGAGGAGAAGCACCACAGAATCCAACTCACCAAATCAAAAACTTTCATCACAGAAATAGAAGTGACTGTGGAAAACACCGAAGGTTAATTTTGAAAATTAGGACTGCAGAACTTGTGGGACTGAAGCCTAACCCGTAGCATTTGAGCGTCAAAGTCATACTGACAATTTACGGAGGGTAGTCAAGCATGAAATAGGTGAGTGCATAAGATGACCCTCACAAGACATGATCCGAGATTGCAGGCCCATGCAATGTAATTACATCAGAAAGAAGTTCAAATCACCGTGCGACACTTGCTGACGGTCAATTTTCAACGATTTTTATAAAAGTTCCTGTGCTTTGAATTCATTCCCAGGATTATCGACTTAGGTTCTGAAGCCATGTCAATCAAACCGTTTCTCGGATGAGATTACACCACAGGTTTCCACAATCAGATCTGTTGGAAAGCAGTGGCCAACCTTCGTTTACAGATAAATGTTTTATTCTCACACTTGTAATTTAACATGAAAGAAGCCAGTTTGCAGGCATCATCACGCTAATATATGTTGAAAAATCTACAAAATTTCACTAACCCTGATTG